TATAGCTATAGATAGAGCTTTTATTATGTCTATATCGAAAGAGCTAAGTTTTTCACATTCCCAAAATGTAGACTTTAAGACTAATGCCAAAAATCATGAGAGTTGGCAATACTGTTAGTTTGAAGTAGATTTTCCAAGGTTTAAAATTCTCTGGTATGCTGCTGTAGAGGTTGCTCTCACTACTTTAGGGTAAAGGGCTGGTTTAGTTTACTTATTGTCAGTCTTAATTTGTCTAGATTAAATTTTCCAACAATTGAAATCCTGTTATAAGTTTTCATGCCTGTTAATGTGACAGACTAGCTTCAGACCTGATCTTCTCATGGAAGGATGTAGATTGAGAAGTAAAATCTACTGCTTAGTCTTTCCCGAATCGCTCTAGCTGAAAAGGTTCTGAAGTCATTGGTATCCAAAAGCAGTCCTAAGGCTTTTGTGTGGAGCAAAGTGGGGTTTTCAGTTCTTACAGTGGGTGAGGAATTCTCCAGCTGCTTAAATTTTTAAAATAACAACAGCTGGGCTGACAGCATCAGCTGAACTCCATTGCTTGTGCAGTGAAGGTACAATTTTGATTTAAGGGATAGCCGCCACCACTTTTGTTGTGTGAGATGGCTATGGGAAAGACTTTGTCCTGGTCCTATTTTGAGCTGCCTTCCAAAAATGAAACTCTTGAGTTTGGGTGAAACCAGGAGGAAGGAACTTGCTTAAATATTGACCAGATTATGACACAGTCCAAAGGACTTTCAGGTGCTTCACTGAAATGAGTAGGCCTGGTATTCTTCAGGAAAGTCAAGTGATTACTAAAGAAGACTGAAGAAAGCACCTCATTGGGAACGGAGCAGCCTTATGTATAAGAAAACAGGCAGGACTTCTCTTAGGTCCTTACAACCTGTAACTGTTTTATTATGAAACAGGATTTTAAGACTTGCACTGATGGCTTTATCTAGTATGCTTGACCTAAGTAAGCTATGCAAGGACATTTCTTAAATTCATACAATGATTTGGAAAGGGGGTTTGTGATAGTGACTCATGTTGCTTTCTGCAGTTCCTAAGGTGTTCCTCATTACATTAGATACATTTCCTTCTTATTCAAGTTTTTTGTCAGCTGCAACGGAATAACTACAGTTGAACACATTTGTACCTCTTCACCTCCTTGCTGATGAGGAAACTCCCACTTCTCATCAGATACCTACAAACTGTTTCCTCCTTGGAGGCACAGGACTCATGCCAAGCACAAGACATCAGCCATGTTGGGCAGCTGTGTTTTCCAGCTTGTTAAGTTTAAACCTCATGTAGTTCTGTGTTTAGAAAGGGCTAAATGTCTATTCTCTAGCATTAACACCGACACACTTAGAGAAGGTGGCAGATTAATTTTTGATTAGCACAAATGCTTCAGTTATCTCTCTCCCTTTTTTGTAAACGTATTAACTTAATGGGTCAAAGCAAGAAGGGTTTAGTAAAATACATAGGCAAGACGAGCTTATCTTTCTCCTGGTGAAAGAAGGGAGCCTTTTTAGAGATGCTTCTCTCAAATGGTGAGTGAAGATACTTTCTAGACTGGTTTAGTAAACCAAGCCCTCTCACTCCAGAAGGGCTGAATACTTGTGACCCTCTTCAGACCTTCAGACTCAGCATTTGTGAGCATCTCAGCAGTTGGTCAGGATTTCCAAGTCACTTGGCCCTTCTGAAAATCTGGCTGTAGGTGTTTCAGTCAGAGTTGTAAAATACTGAGGACTTCTAAAAATGTAGCCCTTGAATACTTAAATGGATGCTGAATTTTGGGAAAGTCTTGCCATGAGTCATCCTTCATTTGCTATCAGGATTTTCCAGAAGAGATCAGGAGTGCCTCTCCAGCCTGTATGTTCTCTAGATTCACAAAAGTATCCAGAAGGTGGACTATTATTTCCAAAAGTTGTTTTGCTATAAGTATTGCTTTGCAGAATGCTTGGCAGCCCATGGACTACAGTGTCAGCTGCTTGTGCTGGACTTGTCAGGAGCTGTTTGGTATGTCTGTGTCTATTAGAAAGCATAGTCCAGTGCATCTGCAGGAGGGCATGACTGGTATGCCTCCCATTTTGTTCAGCTTTCCCAAGCGCTTGTGCAATTGTCTCCCAGCTCTCCTTGCTTAACTTGTGTAAAACAAAAATATCTTACTTAAAACATGCTTCCTTTTAATCCAGGAATCTTCACCTGCCAAACATAATACAATAGAGCTGCACTGCCAGTCTTAATTCTCATCTGTCACATAAGTTCCCCCACATTTCAGGAACAAAATCCTTCTTTCTCCAAGCATATTTTGTATATACATTTCTACTCTGCTGGACTGTTGGCAAGGTGGCAAACAAGGCATTTCTCTTATGACCCCTCCCTCTTCCTACCAGGCTGTAGTGTGAAACCCTTGATATATTGAATATAATTATCTTGTGTTGTGAGGAGTGAGGTGAATAAGACTCAACTAATACATTTTTTTTTTTCTCCCGAGCAAAACGCGTGCTAGAAAAGAAATAAGCCTACTAAATGAAGGATATGAAATCGGCAGCTCAGCCATTTTCAAAAGTTCAGCAAAGATTTTGAAACATAACAAAAAGGAGGTATGGAGAAGTGGGCAGGCAGTAATTACCTCTATAAAGTGGTTGATAAATTAGTTGAGGGGGAATGCGGTGGAATCTGCTTAGTAGGGAAGTAGAATGACAGTCATTAATGGCTTCGGTGCCTTGTGCAAACTCTAGTCCTCCTTCACCTGAACTCTCAGACAGATGTTCTGCGGAGGTTAAGAGCAGGGAAGGACTCCAGCATAAGGCTTCCCCTGGGTATTTAAGATACTTTTGATTCTATCTGGCACCTGTTGTGTGTTTTCCAAAAAAAATTCAGAAATTGGGAAGTGAAATCTTGTCTCAGTCCATTTGATCTGATTCGCACAAAACTGAGGAAGAGTCTGATGAGAACTGGAGTCAATTATCCACTTTTTTCAAAATACATGTTCAAACATGTAGCTCTGAATGTGTCTTCTGAGAGCTTAGGCTCTTAGACATGGGTGTTACTAGTAATTTAACAAGCAGATAATCTTCAGACTAATTTCTAGCAACCAAGTCCCATTACTACATGTGGAAGGTGCTGCTTAACAACATTCAAGTGAACACGTGGGTAAATGAATGAAACTTCTGTGCAAGTCTGAGGTGTCCCTAGCTTGTAAAGCAGCTGTCTAAGGAGCTGACTGTTGTTGAACTGTACTCAATTAGGAAAAAGCTAAGAAGCAGAGGAATAACAGTTGGTACTAATGTTTCAAGAAATAATGTTGAAAGAGTAATCCAGTCCACTTGCAAATAGCTATTTAACTGTGAACTGAAAGCAGGTATGCCAAATGGCATCTTGAATTAACTCAAAGCTAATGCACATAGGTCATGTGGATTTATAAATGGACTAGGTTGTAATCCAGTCCATCGGGGTAGAACAGAGCTGGTGAACAAGTTGGGCAGAAGTGAATATATTTTGTAATGTAGTAAACCATATGAATTTCCTTTTGGGTTGTTCTAAATATGAACCGTATCGCAGTGTGACAGTCCTCTTAGTCAGATGTAAGGATAAAACAATGAATCATGGGTGGTGACTAATAAAATGCTAACAACTGATTATGCCTGGTTTATATTTAAAACTTCTGTACTAATACAATGAATGCAGTAAACAGCAAACCAGCCAAAGCTGCAGCTGATAATCAACCACAGAGTGATGGGAAGCTAAAAAACACTGGGTATAAATATAGTAACTTAGAAACACAAGTGCACCCTGCACAGGAAATGTGGACTGCTAACTCTCTTCTGTGAGAGTTTGAGCTCTGAGGGATCAGTGCAGTCCAGAAATAAGCAGAAAGGGTAGCCAGACCACATCACTGACTAATTTGGTCTTCCTCCTCCTCCTCCTCCTTTTCCTTAATCTTCTTTTTAGAGAGACTAAGCAGGGGGCTTGGAAATGGGAAGGAGAGTGAAGCTGTTTAGAAGCTTGGATTCCAAATGCATTTCTGTGTAAGGCTCTGAAGTGCTAATAGTGAAACACCAGTGACTGTTTGCATCCACTGGTGTTACAGGCCTCAAGCTACATCTGTTTCACTTGCCTTAATGAAATATCCGAAAGTTTTTTGCCTTGAGCACTGGGGTGTGTGTATGTGCTAAAGCTAATAAATAGGCATATTTGAGCCTCTGCTGTCACCATGTTGTTGATGAGGGATAGGCTGGAACTTATGATTCCCAAAGTGGTAGCCGAAGAACTTCATAAACAAGTTTCCATCTGTTAAAGTAAACAGTTTCTTGGTTAAGCCTCTGATGAAGCAATGAAAACTATTTTTTTTCAGTCTTGCAGTTTAGTGCTTCCATAATGTTGGTGCCACACGATGTATGGAACACTGAGAAGAGCCAAGCTGTATTAATACTATCCCTTTGCAATGGCAGGAAATGCAGGGGATGTGTACAACCCATGCACAACATGACTTCTGTGCAAGATGGTGACCATATGTCTGTATTATCAAGAGCAAGGCTGGCTCAGACTAGAAAAGTGCTTGCTTCTGTGTTAATGTGCATGATGCTAAAGTGAAAGGAGCTGTCTCTTGGCTTGTACTGTTGAAGAGTTGCTAGTCAGGGTAGATTGATTAATGAAACTATTTTGCACATTGGCAAAAGGCTTCCATGAATCGGATATATGAAAGGGTATAACAGGTCACCATGACTTTCATACACAAGCTAATTCACAATTATCTTTATGCCTTGCAGATGTTCTTGTCTGCAGTGGGACCTGTGCTTTTTTTTATTGCCTCTATCTCCTCTTTACAGTCACTTCCAGTAATCTAATCTTTGGCTTTATTTTAGGGCGATTCAACTGGAACATTGACCCAATCACTGAAACTCAGATCTTTAAGGACTTAATATATTCCTAGCCTTGAAGAACAAGCGACACTGGTAAGTTTTTTGTTTTTTTTGTTCCCTCCC